GTGACAACAATCAATTCATATCTATAGATAATTACACTGAACATAAATGAATTAAATGCACAAGTCAAAAGACAGAGTAGCAGAATGGATACCAACTTTGGTACATACATACACTGGAATACTACTCACCAATGAAAAATAATGCCGAAGCTGTGAAATACCTCATCACATGGATAAACTTGGAGGGCATTATGCTGAGTGAAACCAATCAATTACAAAAGAACAAATATTGTATGAGACCACTGTGGTAAAGTTAAGAAAAGGTTTTCTTGCTAAAAGAAACATTCTATGATGGTTACCAGACTCCTGGTGTGGTACTGTAGGAACAGCACTGGAATGAGAACCACAAGGTTGACAGTTAAAACCCACCAGCTGCTTTTTGGAAACTCTGTACAGAGTCTCCATGAGTCAGAACTGATTCAATGCCACTCAACAACAATGATGGTTACCACGAGTGGGAGGGAAGGGAAAACTGTTCATTGGGTTGAGGGGTAGGCACATGTTAACTGGGGTGATGGGGAAGACAATATATAAGATTAAGGTTGACACAGGAAAATGAACAAAAAATGACACAGGAAAAATGAAAGACACAGATAGGACTGCAAGAGTTAAAGTGTTAACTGTTAACTTGATGATACATGCAAACGATTGCAACCATTATAATGACACAAAGTGTATGGTTTGTTGAATATGGGACTGATGATCTGTTCTGTAAACCATTCAATTCACAATAAAAAGGTTTTTAAAAGGATTATGTTCTTAATATTTTTCCTATCTATATATGCAATTTTTACTATTAAAATAGAAAAACATTGTTTATATAAATTTATAACTTATTTTTATCACTTAGTATTTTTCTGACAAATAGTTTACATGGGAGAACATAGTTTTACATTCACCCTATTGTATATCGTTTCATTGCTGTGGCTACAATCCCCTCCATGCATCACCAACCAACCAAAGGGTGTACCCTACAAGTCTGCCCCCCCCACCCACCCCCACCCAGTCATCAGCACACAGCCGCTCTCCCTCTCTGTGTCTAAAATCTCCAGCTGCTCCATCTCTGGCGTCACTGCTTCTCTGGGTAGGATTCTGCTCTCAGTTCTTCTCCCTTGGTGGTCCCAGGGACATCCACTCCTAGACTACAAAGTTAATCACTCCCCTCCTTGCTATAAAACGTCTACCTTTACATTTCCAACCCTAACATCAGTCCTGAGACCTATCTGTATTTCATCAGCCCCGCCCAGACAGATTGGATACTACTCACTGGAGATTCTACCTTCCCCTACGCCCTTTGGATCTAGGTTCCCTCTTGAAAGCTTGTAAGCCAGTCACTTCTTGCTTTTGTAGCCCCCCCGCCCCATTTTGGGTAGCCAATGTCCAAATTGCCCATCCCTGTCTACTCTGTGTATGGAGGGGGTGGGAATGAGCCTTGCTCTAAAGATTTATTCCATCTTTTGAGCTACTGCATCCATAGGTGTAGGTCAAGTTCATCAAATTGTATCAGATTACTCTTTTTTTTCCCCTCTTCTTCTAGTTGATCTCTGATCATCCAGTCATTGAAGCCAGGTCAAGTTACTGCATAGGTTTAAATTATGATCACTATAAACAATGCTGCGATAACCCTTCTGACAAAGTCTTTAAGCATACCCAATAGGCTAAGTGCTAGACTAGGTAAGAGATTAGTTTCAAAGGAGCAGCTGGTGGGTTTGAATCACTGACCTTGTGGTAAGCAGTCCAATGCTTATCCTATAGCACCACACCAGAACTCTATTAATTAATAATGGTTAAAACCAAAAGCCCACTGACATCTAGTTGATTCAGACTCATAGCAACCCTAAGTAGGGTTTCTGAGGATATAAATCGTTACAAGACAAGAAAGCCTCATTTTTCTACCATGGAGCAGTTGGTGAATTCAAACAGCTGACCCAGTGATTAGCAGTCCAACAAGTAACTCACTATGCCACTAAGCCTCCTTTAACACTGGTTGATGATGTTGTTATGTGCCATAAAGCCAGTTCCGAATCATATGGACTCCATATAGGTTTTCAGAGGCTGTAAGAAAGCAGTAAGTCTTATCTTCTTCCCAAGGAGTGGCTGGTGGGTTCAAACTGCCAACCCTGTAGTTCACAGTGCAGCGTTTATCCTACAGAGGCACTGCGCTCCTCCTTAACACTGGTTAGGTATACAGAAATTACACACTGATTTGAGAAACCAGAATAAATAATCAAGAAAGGTACTAGGAACGTCTCTGAAGATGTCCAAAAAAAACGAAAGACAAATGTTGGTACTTCCCCCTGTCCTTAACTTCAGTACCTTCTCTTGTTTGCCCAGAAAAGAATTGAAGGAATAACCTCTTAAGGTCTTCTAAAGCTAACAAATTCACTCAAATTGGGAGAAATGAAATCTGTTGTTCCAGAAAGGGAAGAATATAAAGGTAACTTTCTCAAAAGTCTCCATACTCATACCTTTTGTTGAAACTGAAGAAATGCCAAACCTATAGAAAGAAAAACATGTTAAATTTTAGGAAGTTGTTCACATTTCTGGTTGTTTGTCTCCGTGTCAAGTGTACATATGGCACGTCTCGCTTGTGATCTCAAGCTTTGCAATCATTAGCTAATTCTAACAACCCCATGAAAAAGTTTCAGGCTACTCCTCACAAGTCTAAAGAATACGCTGAAAGGAAATCTTATCAAACTTAGAAGTACAAGTCAGTTTGTGATTTTTGCCATTACAAAAACCCTGTTTGATAACATAAGCCAATCTATAGCCACTGTATCCAAATTAGATGTTCTGAATTGGTCCAAGAAATCATTAATTTATTTTCAGCAAGGTCTCTATTCTACTTAAAATCAATAATTATACACAACTACGTCAGGTCCAAAATGCTGGAGTCACTCACCTAGCTGCCCGGGCAGCTTTCTTACTCTCCAAGCTCACAGGTACATTGAATCGTTCAGCTCTCTTCTGCATTCTCTAAGTGATAACGGATAAGAGGGAAAAAGAAAAACTGAATTTCTGGTTTGCTTCTTTTGTAAGAGAAAAGTTGGTTAGAAATGGGTGTCTTTAAAAATAAAGTCCACATTCTACACAAACCAAAAGCTGTTTTGGTTGACCTTTGAAAAGGAATCAAAGGAACAAGTTGGTTCCAACACAGTAGTTCAGAAATGCTGCAGTGTTGTCCTATGCCATTGTAAAAGGGTTTAATAATTTCCTACTTTATGGGTAAAAATCCGAAGACAAGATCTCAACTAGAACCTAGTTTCAGAGATCTTGGGCACAGAGAAATTTCAACCTCATCCGTTAGTGACTAGCAATTTTCAGAATAATATCTTGTTACTTTCATCTCTTCTAAAATCCAATCTTTCCTAATCCTAATAATAGGATTGCAAACATTTTAGAAAAACATACCATTAAAACTATAATGTTACCTATAAAAAAGACTACGTTAGCATTGCGGGTTAATATGCTGGACTACAAGGTCCATTTGAACTATAAGGTCAGCGGTTCAAGGTCACCAGTCGCTCCCCCAAAACCCTTTACAACGTCGCTAGGAGTCAGAATCGACTCACCAGTACTTAACAACAGCCCTAATATTTTAATGTAGTTGGTAGAGAAATATATCAGCACTAAAACCTAACAATATTAGCTTTCTGTCTACGAGAAAAACATTTTAAATAATGATGCAAATAGAATGAAGTGTTAAGAAACACAAAGATAAATGTAGAGATGGTCCATCTAATAAGGGGAAGAAATATAATACCCACCTCAGTCTGTGGTAATTCAGATGTAATTTTTACCACTTTCTTTTCTGCTGTCCTGAAAAAATAAAAAAAAAACTTTTTTCTTACAAACACCAAAATCTTAAGAATTCACCTAAATCATGTCCACTGCCCCATAACTTTCCACCAACCCTTAACTTAAAAAACAAAACAAAACATGAATCCCATTAGAACTTTGGTTCTTTGAATTGTGATCTATTAACAAGAGTTCAAATACTGTCACTACTTTAACAACTATGAAATCAGGAAAGGAATCTGATTAAATATATTGGGCTAAAGGAAAACACTCAAAGGGTACCATAATCCATTTCATTTACAAATTTTAAATTTACTTCTGGATTAAGGTCTACTTCTCCAACCTGCATTTAAATACTAGCTCTCAATTTTCATCACAACATTTAGTGAGTGTGTTATAGGTCCTGGTTTCCCTCTTTTATAAATCCCTATTTCCCTACATGGCTTGTAGCTCCAGCTGGAACCAAGTGGAACAAATAAAAATGGGGGTGGGAAAAAAAAAGGCCAAGAAGAGTTTGAGTTAGGAAAACACAGTAAGTTCCTGGTCAAAAGGTTTAAGAGAAAACAAAAGGAGGGGGACCACAGGGGCGGGAGACAAAGTTCGGAAGTATCCAGGATAAACGGAAAGGCATTAACCCTCCACCAAACAACTCCCATAAAACCACAGGTCATAACCAGTCTCATTAAGGTCCCTCATTTAGAAACATGGGCAGCTTTTGTTCCAGTATCCAGGACACTTTTCCCATTTGATGCCCTGAAAGGTAGTAATGGTTTAATGACATTTTCAGCGGAAGCTATTCTGGAACAGGAACTTACTCTCTCCTCCATCCTTTTGTTGGAGGTCCCTGGACTGAAAGACAAGTAATGGGTGCCCCCTGCTGACCATAACTAAGTTCTACAATATTTAAATGCCTTGGCTTGGTGGGAGTGATAGGGGACTCAAACTAGAAACAGAGGTGTTATTTCTAGACAATCTCAGGTCAATGCTGAAGAAAGGGACTCTCCTTCTGAATATCCAAAGGACCTAAAATTTACCCTGAATACTTGGACTTAGTTCAATAAATTTCTAAATTCTTCCCATTTCCTGGCCATTCTTCCCTCTCCCAGGCCTCCCCATCCTGGTTCAGGCAGGAAAGTCCAAATAAGCTTATTGTTTTACTTGAAGTCCAATGCCATTAAGAGATCAGTGCTCTCCAACTCCAGGTTAATGACTTCCTCCACATTATCATCCTGAAACACAATCACTGCCATTTATCTCACAGCAGAAAGGGAATCTGAAAGGATGCTTCCTTCCACTCTATTCCAATTCCCTTATGGACAAATAAACTCAAGCAATAAAACATATGAATTCTGGAACTCTTAGGAAATTTTCACTGTTCACTGATAAATCTGCCTCTCCTACATAAAACACTCTCTGAACTATAGAGACCCAGAACATTTCTGTAACATACTTTAGTCTAAACATAACTCTCCCTTACTTTACTCTAACACTTCCAACTTCCTTTCCTGTTTTGGACTTTATTTATAAAATTAAAGCCCTTGAAGAAACAAATTACACACATTTTGTATATTCAAACATTAATGACCATCTAACAAAATTTGTAATGAAACACTACCTTTAACCCACACAAGTCAGTATCATTATTAACTTGATCTTCCTTCTTGTCCAGAAGTTCCCAAAATATTTGAAAGCTATTCCACTAAATCACTGTATTAAGAAACTGCATCTAATAATAATAAACCTCACAGCACATAACAACAACATCATCATGGGAAGATAAGGAGCTCTGGTAGCACAGTGGTTACGAGTCGAGCTGCTAACCTTAAAGTTAGCAATTCGAAACTACCAGCTATTCCATGGGAGAAAGATGATGCTTTCTGCTCCTGTAAAGATTTGGAAACCCTATACAAGATCACTATGAGTTGGAACTGACTCCACAGAACACAACCTCCACTAACAATGGGAAGATAAATTGGCTTTAGAAATCAACAATATTTGGCATACTCTATTAAAATGTAAAATGTACAACCTCTGTGACCCAGCAAATCTACAGCTAGGAATTCATTTCATGGACATACTTATATATAAATATAAAAATATTTGGACAAAGACATATAGAACTGCAAATTTTTTTTTATTATGGATATTCTAAATATCCATATAGCTAAACAAATAATTGCTCACCCATAAAATGGAATACCATTAGTTGCTAGAAAGAAAAAGCTTCTAAGTAGATTAAGTATTAAATCTGGGTAGTGACAGGCACTTGAAGGGGAATGGATCTATTATACTATTCTTGTGACTTTTGCATATAATCACAATTTTTCATAATAACAAGCTAACAATAGATCTATCAGTTACTAGGATAATTATTAGTATTTCATAGGGCTAATGTGGAAGATTAAAGGAGAATACATGTTAAAACCTTAGAACCATGTCTAGCATAGAAATAACATTTAAATAAGACTTCATTATTATTAATATCATGGTTATGATATAAAAAGATCTCTATAAAAAATCAAGACCGTATGTACAGTGTGTATATGTGTATGTATGAGGGAGCTTTAAAATGGAAAATTGGAATTAAAAAATGGAATTTTTCTATGAACTTTTTGAAGTTCCCTCATATATATGTGTGTATACACTCCCCCGCCCCATCACCACCATATATAAAGTATTTCAGAATACGCTAAAAACCTCTGGGAAGTTAGACAAAAACAGGAGCAAGGGGTACTGATTTTTCTATTAATATACACTCCTCTATGTACATATGGTTTGGTGCTATGGGTTAATCCACTGGACTGCAAAGTTGGTTTGAACTGCAAGATCAGCTGTTCAAGCTCACCAGCCACTGCTCGGAACCCTATACAGGGTCACTATGGGTTGGAACCAACTCAATGGCACTTAACAATTATGTACAAAAAGTTCATGGATAAACAATGAAAAGATAATGGAATTTTTCCATGAAGTTTTTGATGTCCCCTCATATACTATCTTTTATAATTAAATGAATTAACTATAAACAGCTGTGAGGAACAAAAATTTAAAAGGGATTCAATTGTTTTAATGTTGCTGTTAAGTGCCAACGAGTCAGTTGCAACCAATAGCAACCGTGTGTCGAGTTTCTGAGGAGCAGCTGGTAAGCTTAAACTGCCAACCTTGCAGTTCAAACAGCTATGCAGTCTGACATATTAACCCACAGTGCCACACCAGGAGTATAAATTGGCCAGACACTTGTAGAAAGTGCCCTAAATAAAAGGTGTTTATGATTCAACTTGTTTGAGTGGTGGTGGTAGTTATGTGCCGAGGAGTCAGTTCCGACACATAGTGACTCTGTAAGGTTTCTAAGGCTGTAAATCTTTACCGGAGCAGAAAGCCTCATCTTTCTCCCACAGAACAGCTGGTAGTTTCGAATTGCTGATCTTTAGATTAGTAGCCCGACTCATAACCACTACACTACCATGGCTCCTAAACTTGTTTGAATAGTTTAAATAAATTGTAGACAACTTTTCAATTCAGTACTTTCCTCCCCTCCTCCAATGTAAATCAAAAAGCAAGGGCATAGTGGCACTTGCAAGACAATCTCTGACCAACACTGTCTTCCCTTTCAAAACTCCTAACATACAGTTTTACGCTTCTTTGGATAACATTTATCTATTATGGTGATCCTACAAAAGAACAACAAAAGTTAGGAAAACTAAATTTGTGTTTGGGCTTGAAGTATCATTTGGTTGAAATTACCTACTACATAATTCAGAGACAGTCTGGGAACATATACTCAACGAAACAGACTCTAATAAAAATTTGTGAGCTAATCAGAAATGAAAAGATACTGAAATACCAAATTTAGCAAAACCAGAACTGTTTTCTACTAAGATGATAAAAAAGGGATAGTTACACATCAACAGTTTTTTCAGGGGGTTCTTCCTCTTTGACAGGTAGTTCTATGGGCTTTGGTTCTTCTTCCTAAAATCAAATGAAAAAAGATAGTTAACACAAACCAAGTTTCTCAGGACTTTCACTCCATTTTTATACTCCTTTAATGAGTTAGCATCTACGTTCTCTAACAAATGATGTTAATTTAAGCAATGTGGCCAAGGTAATGGTATATTCCAGGTCAATGACTAACTTTATCTCTCTAACTCACCTCTGTTTCATCTCCCAGTACATCTTCTTCATTTGCCTCCTCTTCAGCTAAAGAATATGAAAACATTCAGGTCACAGTATTTAGGTTAAACTTACAATCATTTGTTTTCTTAAAAAATAAAATTCACTAACAAAGGCAGACTGATCCTCATATAAAATTTATTACCTAAGGAGAAGGTAGTAACTCTATCTCTACCTAACATTAAAACAAAGTTAAGCTCCAGTGGGAGTCCTGATGTGGTTGGTGCTGTGGGTTAATATGCTGGATTTCAAGGTTGGTTTAAACTTCAAGGTTGGCGGTTCAAGCTCACCAGTTGCTCCTCGAAAACCCTACACAGGGTCGCTGTGACCTAGAACCAACTCTACAGCACTTAAAAAACAACAACAAGCTCCTCTGGAATGACAAACTAAATGTGCTCAAGTGAAACTACAAGGTTAATATAAGACAATGAGAGAGATTTTACTATAGGATATGCAATGGACTGCTAACCACAAGTTGGCAGTTCAAACCCACCAGCTATTCCTCAAAACTCCTACACACGGTCACTATGAGTTAGAACTGACTCTGTGGTACTTAACAACAACATATATGAAGGACACCATAGATGAAGTTAAAAGAGATGCAACAGGAAAGATGATGCTGTCTTTGAGTGCCACTGAGTCAATTCCGACTCACAGTAACCCTGTGTATTTGGTTTCCAAGCAGAAGTTGGCAGGTTTGAACCACCAGCCTTGAGGTGGGCAGCCCAGTGTTTATCCTACAGCACCACACCAGGACTCCACAAAAGAGAAGATAATGTGTTAAACCAACAAGGGGATATGTTTTGTTGTTGTTAAATGCCATAAGAGTTGGTTCCAACTTATAGCAACCTTGGAATAGGCACTAAAATATAAAAGGCCTGTAAGCAAAAGAGAATGATGGTAAATACCAACAGGAAAACTAGCAAAACAGAAGATCTGGATAGCCATTAATATAAGAAATGCTTAAACATATTATTGTTGTTGTTAAATGTCGTGGATTTGGTTCCGACCCATAGCAACCCTGTATAGGATTTCCAATGAGCAGCTTATGAGCATGAACTGTCGACTTTGTGGTTCAATCTGACTTTGTAGTCCAGTGCATTAACTACAGTAACCACACCAGGACTCCTTCTTAATTAAATCAAAATTAATCCCTTAATTTAAATTACAATTAATTAAATTAAAGCAATGAAGAGATTAGCAAAAGTTAGGAAATCTGAAAGGCCAAGGCCAAGTTTAGGTTTGTGGAAATATAAGATCACTGATGCACTGTTGATGAGAGTGCAGACTGACACAGGAATTCTGGAAAACAATTTGGCATATTAAGTACACATTTACAAATCTATATTTATATTACCTAGTGGTCCCATTTCTAGGTATATACCCCAGAAAGATTTTCACACAGGAACGTAAGGGGATATAAAAGTAGTACTTTATCCCAATATTACTTGTAGCAGTAGGGACTTAGAGCAATGAAAGTATTTGCTACCAGGTGAATTAAGTAAAAATGTGATGGCTGTACATCATAGAATATGAAACAGGAACTGGAATCTATAGATGATTACCAGCTAGCCACATGCCACAAGGATACATCTTTAAAAACCACAGTATTTGTGTAAAAAGAAATAAAACGACTATTTTATTTATACCATAAATGTGCAAAGATCTGGAGTCAGAAAACCAAAAGGGAATATAACACACTCAGCATTTCTCAAGTTGGGGGAACTGAAGAAAAAAATTCAAGCCTCGACTTTGGTTATTGAAGGATTCTCTGGGCAAATTATTGAATGATGCAGAAAGCATCAAAGGAAGATGAAAGGAATACAGAGTCACTGTACCAAAAGGACATGGCTGATGTTCAACCATTTCAAGAGGTAGCATATGATCAAGAGCCAATGATATTGAAGGAAGAAGTCCAAGATGCATTGAAGCAACTGGCATAGAGCAAGGCACCAGGAATTGATGGAATAAAAATTGAAATCTTTTAAGAAAGTGAGGCGGCACAGAAGGCACTCACTCATCTATGCCAAGAAATCTGGAAGACAACTATCTGGCCAACTGATTGGAAAAGATCCATATTTGTGCCCATTCCAGAGAGATGACCCAATGGAATACAGAAATCATCAGACAATCTCTTTGATATCCCACGCAAGTGAAGTTTTACTAAAGGTAATACAGAAAACGGTTGCAAGCATAACATTGACAGAGAACTTCTAGAGGTTAAAGTCAGATTCAGAAGAGGCTGTAGAAAGAGGAATATCATTGCTGATCTCCAATGGATCTTGGCTGAAAGCAGAGAATATCAGAAAGATGTTTACCTGTGCTTTATTGATTACATAAAGGCTTTCGATTGTGTGGATCATGACAAGCTATGGACAACATTGCAAAGCATGAATATTCCAGAACACTTAACTGTGCTCATGAGGAATCTGTACCAAGAGGCAGTTTTCGAACAGAACATGGGAATACCAAATGGTTTAAAATTATGAAAGGTATGCGACAGGGTTGTATTCTTTCACCATACTTATTCAACCTGTATGCTGAGCAAATAATCCAAAAAGCTGGGTTAGATGAAGAAAAACATGGGATCAGGATTAGAGGAAAACTCATTAACAACCTGTACTACGTAGATGATACACTTTTGCTTGCTGAAAGTGAAGAGGACTTAAAATACCTGTTGATGAAGATCAGACCACAGCATTCAGCATAGACTGCACCTCAATGTAAAAAAAATACAAAAGTCCTCACCACTGGATCAATAAACAACATTCTTATCAACGGAGAAAAGATTGAAGTTGTCAAGAACTTCATTCTTCTTGGATCAACCATCAACACTCGTGGAAGCAGCAGTCAAGAAATCAAATGACATATTGCATTAGGCAAATCTGATGTACAAGATCTTTTTTAAGGGTTGAAAAGCAAAGATGTCATCTTGAGGACTAAGGTGCGCCTAACCCAAGCCATGGTATTCTCAATAACCTCATATGCATGCAAAAGCTGGACAGTGAATAGGGAAGACCGCAGAAGAATTGATGCATTTGAGTTATGGTGTTGGAGGAGAATATTCAAAGTGCCATGGGCTACCATAAGAACTAATAGATCTGTGTAGGAAGAAGTGCACCCAGAGTGTTCCTTGGAGGCCAGGATGGCCAAACTTCATCTCTCATACTTTGGACATATTGTCAGGAGGGACCAGTCGCTGAAGAAGGATATCATGTTTGGTAAGGTGGAGGGTCAGAGAAAAAGAGGAAGACCCCCAGCAAGATGGACTGGCCAAGTGGCAGCATCAATGGGCTCAAGCATGGCAACAATAGTGAAGTTGGCCCAGGACTGGGCAGTATTTCATTCTGCTGTGCATAAAGTCGCTATGAGTCAGTACCGACTCGATGCTACCTAACAACAAAAACAACAACATATAAATACAGGGCCCTAGTTTGGCGCTGTAGGATAAGCATTGAACAGCAAGGCCAATCTGAACCACAAGGTGAGCAGCTCAAATATACCAGCTGCCCTCAGAAACCCTATACAGGGTGGCTATGAGTTGGAACCGACTCAGTGGCACTTAACAACAACGAATTTTATACCATTTATATAAATATGGAGTCCTGGCGTGACACCATAGGATAAATACTGCTAACCATGAGATCAGTGGTTCAAATCCAGCAGTTGCTTCTCTAAAACCCTATACAGGGTTGCTATGATGGCACTTAACAGCAAAAATTTATTAAAGTATTGTATACCCCCAATACTACATTGCTTAAAAGGATAAAGATAAAAAACACATACTATAAACTATCACTTAGTTCACAATAAAAACTTAAAAAAAACAAAAACAAAAACCCAAACATGTACCAAACACCTTAGAATGGTTGCCTAAGGTGGGGAGGTCATGAAATGAGGGGTAGGAAAAGGAATAAATACACATACAAAAATTAAAGAGAGGACTTGTACAACATGGGATGACAGTAGGCCAAAAACATTTTGTTTAGTTTAAAGGGCATATTTGGAGAACGTCAGAAGTAGAAGGCAACAGAACTTACCCAGGTTTATGGATTTCAAAGGTCAAGAAGACATTTTTCTCCTAACATATAATAAGGATCAGCCATATATAAACAGTGACTATCCAAAATTATCCAGTAAATTTCTGACACAACAGGAATTAGAACTGAAGTCTCCCAATTCTCAGGCTAACAACAGTTGCTTGCATTACCATGCTACCTTTTAAATAACTTACTAAAATAAAATTACAATGTTAAAAAATTTAGTCATTTACACTGTTTTTTTCTCCCTCCCTCTTTGTACTGTTTTGGATGACTGAGACAGTTTCCTTAATACACTTATATCACCAACAACCTAAATGAAAAGAAGAAAGCTTCAATATAACAAGAGCCTGAAAATTAATCTCCTCACTCACATCACTCCTTGCCTCCACAAAACTTACCATGCTCTTCAAGATATGCCTGGAGCCTGTTGATGAGATCTTGTTTTATTCCCTTGGTCTCCAAACCACGAGCAAGACATTCTTGCTTTAGTTCAGCAAGCTGACAAAAAATAAATAAATAAAGCTTTTTCTTAGTTAAAGAGATAAACCCTAGTGAGTGATAAACGGTAGTCCTCACAAGAAAAAAAAAAATCCCAATCTACTGCCTTTTAACCCCACCAAGTCCCTGGGTCCACGGTATGTAAGAGAACTTTTCTTAACAGATTCAACTAAAATTCTGACCTATTTGTACATCTATCTGTTGTCAAAAATCTTCAGCTATTTTTTAATATTTCTTAGAAACAAAAACATTTTCTCCCTAAAAATTAATTTCAACTAACATTGAAAAAAATCAATCTTCAAGAAGCATGCCCAATTATGTAAAAGCAAAATCTCCTCATCAGCTATTATCCCAGACCCTCTATCACAATCTGCCATATACATGCATACAGGTCTATTCACTGCAGAACCAGAAAAATGTATTAACTAACTTAACACCAATAATGAATCACATGATTAAAGGATCTATGTCAATATGGAAAGAAGTCTTTGATGGCATGACAGTGTTCCATTCAAAATTTTAAAACCAGCACTTGAAAGACAGAAAAGACATGCTTATTAACTTTGCAGAAAATAGGAAGGAAAATTTTTATCTTACAGAAATACTTAAAAAAAAAAAAAAATTCAGGTAGAGCAATTAGCCAAAATGAAGATTTAATTGAGAAGAAACCCATGATTAAAGTCCTGCATTTTACAAGTCATTGTATAAAATCCAGATGAGGGACATCTGGCTCTAAAGTAAAGCCCTTAGAGTTTTAGATGATTACAAGTTATCTAGTGCTATTACTTCAAGT